CGTTGAGACGACACATTTGCGACCTGCAATTTGTGCTAGGCGCCGTCAACTAGGGTCTTAAAAGTATATCAGTAAATTTAGGCACCTAAATTATATGTGTCTTGCCATAATTTTGATTGTCTTAGGATTACAACTCCATCAGAAAAAATCCTCGAACCAACTATGCTAATGAGAGAAAAGAATTATAAAGTATGGCAAGGCACACATAAAATTCCTAAAGCTTCTGCACCTACCAATAGCTCCATTAAGTCGTTTTGGTGGTGGAGGCTCGAAAATTCTTTGTTGTAAGTTAGGCGGTAACGTAGAATAAAGCGGTATGCACTTTAATTCACCAATTTCGGATCCCAAATTATCAATTTCACGTTTGATTCGCTTGCAAGCTTCTTCTATTTCCTATAATAAAACAACAGCGATTTTGCGAATGATTTTATAAAACATTGTACTGGTTGTCAATACGACAATAAGCTAATCAATTCAGCAAAAAAATCCCATCATGAGCGACAATACATAAAGAGGAACTGCAGAGTGAATAGAAATTTATTCGTTAGTTTGAACTATTTAATCCTTGCCGAGTATATAACAGCAATATTTTTCTAATCTATTTTAATCTCCGGAAAATATATTTTGTCATAACTAGACCATATATGCAAATTATAGAAAATACAAAAAAATGCAAAGATAGAAAATGCAAAAAATTACCTCTTGTCCTGTTAAAAACAGCAGTATATCTCCCTCAACTTCCTCACATACGTGAATCTGGACAACTGTTCTGATCGCAGCTTCCAGATAATCTTTTTCTGGTTCCGGTGTATACTGAAAAAATATTATGACTAATTAAAACACGGCAAAATATGCGAAGCTCAAGTTCTTTCAAATGCGAATTGAAACTTACAAATATTTCGACTGGATATGTGCGCCCAGGAACTGACATCAATGGGCAATTCTCAAAATAATTTTGAAATTTCCCTGAATCCAATGTTGCGCTCATCACGACTATTTTAATATCCTTCCGCTGTCGAACAATTTCCTTAAAAAATGCAAATAACAATGCGGAAATAATTCTAGTGACTAAGAACAGTGATAAAAAGGCAACCCAGTAACTGAAAACAGTGATAAAAGAGCAAACCTTAATCAAGCCCATAAGAATATCAGTTGCTAAAGTACGCTCATGAGCTTCGTCCAATATTATAACGCCATAGCTATCCAGCAGTGGACTATTCATGGCTTCCCGAAGAAGCATACCATCGGTACAATATTTTAGTATTGTCCGCTCGCTAACGCAGTCTTCGAAACGTATTGAATAGCCTACTTCAGCGCCTAACTGAAATGAGAAAAAACAATGTAATTTAAATGTCAACATCGTTCATTTGTTCCACTGTTATTTCTCGTATCCTTAATTCTGATTTATTTCACAGCGTGTTCGCTGCAACTATTTAGTTATTCACAACAGTTTGTTGGCAGTAAGGCTACACTTTTGTCTTCACCATCCTCCAAAGAAATTGAACTCAATTCATAATCAAGATGACAAAAAAATCTTTTCAAGATAATAAACAGCTCGTTTGAAAGACAACTATGTTTTGACTCTATTGATAATATTACACAGCAATCATACATCTCTCATTCCTTTTTAACCTAATGCACTATAAATTTTTTAACAAGATCATGAATACGTACTTGTACATCCATTTCTTCAGCGACACGTGTTGCTACACTCATAGCGGCTACTCTACGGGGCTGCGTGCAAGCAACCAGTCGACGATGTCCTGGAGGTGTACGCGCCTTACAATATTCCAAGCACCATTGTGGTATCTGAGTCGTTTTCCCCGACCCAGTTTCGCCTACTAAGGTAAGACACTGCAAATACAACTCTGTAGCTGTTTGCTCACATAAAGATGTCTATATGAAACCAGTAGAGAATGACCCATTACTATCAGATCGATATTTTGCAAATATAACTTTATAATATTTCGTTGAAATGCATGAATAATCAAGAAGATGCAAGAAAAACGTAATGAATTAGTAATGTATTTCAGTTTTATTTGTTAATACACACCTGGTTTTTGTCAAGCACCTCCAGAAATTTATCCTTGTACTCCCAAACTGGAAGCGTCGTTCGTTTCTTGAATATTTCAAAATATCGTTGTGTGTAAGACTGACCATTAAAGGGATTAATTTCTACCTGAAAAAAAAAGACAGAATTTATTTTGAAGTCAAATATTACTCTTGACTTGAAATAGAAAGTATAGAAAATAAATTGTTGGGTTAAAAGGATTAAAAAAAATTTACTGTTGGGCGGCGAGGTTTCTCAACAGGTGATCGACTTCGTTCCCATCCCCGTTCTCTACTTCTGCTACGATTTCTTCGTGGTGAGCGCGATTTCGAGCGACTAAAGTGCACATAAATTTATGTATTTTTAGATAAATCAAAAATAGTATTGGAATGATAAACAGCGAATAAATCACGCAATAAATTTTAATAACTAACATCATTGTGTGTTTTTCGAAAAAGCAATTAATTATTAAATCCTTTGACCATTTGGGAAAATAAAACAAAAATCATCCAATGATAACTAAATGCCGACAATGGCAAATAAACTGGCATAATTTTTTTAAGCGCCATTTCCCATGCAATTAATGAAGGTACACAAAAGTCCTTTTGCGTCTCCTTGCTCTCTATGGCACAATGCATAATGTCCACTGCAGACATACACATCAAAAGTGAAAGTATAGAAAGTAAGAGCTTACCTTTTCCGTCGATCTCGTTCTCGCTTCCTGTCTCCATCTTCTATGTCAAGCTTATGTCTCGATGACATCTGTAAATGTAATATGGTTCTTTTATAACCTTTGACGAGACCACCAAGCTAGTACGACCCCCTTCCCTTCCTTCGCTTTACATCGTTCCTACGGAGAAAATCCCAATCACTTGATAGATGAAACGAGATAAAACGGGCCGTATGACTGCCCGTCAATCCCTGCTACAGGTCTGTTTTTCGACGAGATAAGCAAAGGTAAGGTCATTGGTGGTGTGGACCGCAAGATAAATCGTGGGCTGGAGAAGGTTGGTAGGTATGAACAGATAGACACGGGTGAAGTGCTGTGCACGGCAAACAAGGGTACTAATGGTAGATTTGGACAATGGGAAGATTTGTTTGGACAGTGAGCTTTATGGCCTTGGGATCCATTTCTCCGATGTATTTCCTTCAAATCATCCATGACATATTTATGGAAACAATCAAATTCACTATTTTCGCTCAGGTGCTTTTCAGTCAATACTCACATATAAATAGAGGACAATAGATGGAATGACGTAGAAAACGGGTATATTAATTTCACGTTATTTGTGCATTGCTTACGCCACCGTCAATAATAGTTTCCTTGTGTACCAATGATATCATTGGGATGTTTGTTACTAAATGTTTCGGCTGCCACTAATGCCTGGAATTCAAATTCTTATTCATTTTTGTCATATTTCAGTATGAGAAGGTGCACCGTTTGCTGGATCTTGAAATGGGTTTTAGGTTTTCAATACTATGAGATTGTGGAAGAAATTACTAATAAAAGGGAATTAAAGAAGGAAGAAGAAAACTGAAAAGATAAAATAAAACTATTGTTATTAGTAGATGCTCTGCATAGTTTTCAAAAAATATTGTAAAAAACCATAAAGGTAACCTGTGCGAAATACCTACACGTCTCGCACGGGCTGTTGTATAAATGAATCAATATTTCGTATTCCACCCTCTTGCTTTATATATTTCAATGTTTTCTTTCGCAGGTAAACATTTACAAACAAAAACTAATCACGTAGAGTAACGCCCTCTCTTCATATCTGTCAGTTATTTTTCCAAAATTCCATTGAATAGAGGATGATGAAAACTTGTTTCTTCCTCTCTGTTGTATATAATGATGTATCATTTTTGATTAGAAAAAGTGAGTTCATATAGCTGATTTTCTTTTTCAGCAAAACTCTATCCTTCAAGTTGAAAGAAAGTTTCAAACGTCAAATATAACGATGAAGTCTTAATTTTAAAACTTGTGTGAGAAGATTATTGTCTAAGCAGTATACAATTTTTGTTAATGTTTTATCAGTTTATGCTTCTCCTTCTTAATCTGATTTGATTACAAAGAGTCTGCCTTGATACATTCATTAATGCTTATTAAATGAAAGTATTCTTTTATTTTTATTTAGATCTAGCTCTCTGTAATCATTTTTGTATGCCGACTTCTTTTCTGATTATATTTGAAACTTAATATCGATTCATTCATCAAATCATCCAGCCATCTATATTTGATATTACATTTTATTGTAATTTTATGCCATTCATTCATTTTGAAACGGGTTTAAAGAAATCGAAAAGTAGGCGAGATCATATGTATATCTTTGCTTACTTTCTTTCTCTCTTACTTCCACTTTCCGTTTATTGGTATTTCTTATTCATACCAAAGTGGACTAGAAAATTTTAATTGTTTTGTTTGCTTTTTTTTTCATTATGCTTTTATTTACTTTATGTAGCAATGACTGTATATTTCATCAGTAAGATAAAAATATTTTATAATTCATTTTTGACTTTATATGTGTAAGACTATTTGAAAAATTATAAGTGTGCACAAACTTGGTTGATCAAAATTAATTAGTTCTCCTTGAAACTGTTGAAAAAGAGAAATTGCAATTTATAGAAAAACGAGGTAAAGACTCACTTTAAAAAACTTATGATAGAAATTTTCGAAATACGGGATTGTTTACGTGGGCGGCAACTTCGTTGATCATGTCCGATTATGTGTAAACTGCAATTGCCAACTTACTTAAATATGAGCTTATGTTATATATCATTTTTACCGAGATTGTCGTTTTTAGGAAGACATTTGCGATTTATAGAGTAAAAAAAAGTTCCAATGATGTATGAAAAGTCAAGATGAAGGCCGAGTATAAGCAAACAATTTATTGAAGTGGAAGAGTGGCATGTACAGTTCTGTAAAAAATGCAGATATAATTATCAGCAAATTATGTTTACTTGGAGCGAAGATGTCAAGTCTTTACCAGGACCTGTTGGAGGTTTATATTTCTTTTAGTTGGGATTATAGTTTTCTTTTGACGTGCTTAGGGTCCGTCTACTGTTAAATGTAGAAATTACAGTGGTTTAGAGCATAAGCCAAAAAATATTGCAACTTAAATGTTAATGGTTTTTAATCAAACACTGGTCTAAGAGACTAGTTGAAGTGAGACTTATTTAGAATTTTTGATTAGATATACCATAAGTTTGTTTTATTACAAACCAAGCAGTATTTTCATTATTTTCAGTGAAATATGACGATAGTATGACTGTTCTGAAAATACATTTGGTAGTGATGGGAATCAAGGAGAAGACGGCGTTTCGCGCTGCAAATACCGATGTACATCTTAAATACAACGAAAAGTAGGTATTTGTGAATGTTCCAATTAAGGAATTATGATCTTTTCATACTGATTTTTTAGAAGTTTTCCTTAAGTATTTCTGCTTGCAAGCTGTGAGAGCTAATGAGTGTGAGAGATAGTAATGACTTGATACATTTTTATAGCTGAAAAAGCTGAAAATTGCTGAAAGCTTTTTAGAACATCAAAAAAAAGGTATTTGATTTTTTATATTGGATGTAATGAGAATAAATTTTTTATACTACCTTTTTTTACAGTGGCTTAAGTGTATTGTTGGAAGTGTTCAAATTAAATAAAAAGACAAAGCCGCCAGTGAAGACAGTTTTGGAGAAGCGATTTTTTGAGATGTCAAAGTGCCCAAATAAAATATTAAGTATTGATTATAAACTAAAGAAAGATCAGTGTATATTATCTGTTCGCAAATCTTTGCCCGGTCTTTGGGCTAATGCTCTATCTTTATAGGCTTTGTTCTTTGTTTTTGAGCTTTATATGCTTTGAATGAGTGGTAAGGAATGCAGTGGACGTTGAAAGTAAAAAAGAGTTATTATCTTTTATCGCTAAACAGGAATTGAATAGCCTGAGTTGAGATGTGTAGCAGAATGCTAGATATTATTACTCGAACAGTTTCATCTTTAGATTTTCGTAAACATCAACAAAATTAGCTTTTCAATGTATGGTTTAGGATTTCAAGCCTACTCATCCCTTCAATGTAATATCTTTTCCGTTGATTGCCAATGAAAATTCACTTATTTCATTCTGTTCATTGACAGACTGTTTGCATACAAAAGATTTATTTCACTTCATGGATAATTATTTATGAAGTGAAATGCTTTCGTAGTAACGATAGCCTACTTCACGATTTTTGCAGTAATCAAAAAAGATCTGTAGCAAATTTAATTTTTCTTTTCATTGCTTCGAAATCAATATCACTCCTTGGAGGCTTTTAAAGGAAGTTTGAAGAAATAAAAATAATGCAGAAGATATGAAGTTTGAGAGTGTGATAGCTATCACAAGGAAAATCTGCTATCATCTATAAATTCACAGATGCATTCTTTCATCCAAAGAGCTTTATTTTAAAATATCTCTTTTAAAATTATACCAAAAATGCAGCATCCACAACAGCAGAAAGACTATCATTTCTTTGCTATATGCAAAGCTAAAGAGTATACATCGATTTTTTGGGGATGAAGAGTGTATACTATGCTTTACGGCTACTTGCTGGATTGGGCCTTTGCAAGGCCTATTGAGCATTCTGAAGATTTAAAGGTTTTCTCTAAAACAAAGTTATGCTACTGCCATTCCTGCTTAGCACTTTTACTTCTTATTCACTGCTTTTACTCCTAAAGTACTGCTCTACGGTTACAGGTTCGTACTTTCATCCACAATACTAAATTCCTTTTTAATGTTTAATTTAGAACAAAAACAACAGCCGATTATTTAATTAACGCTAATTAACGCCTAATATAGAGCAAATAACCGGAAAGGAATTTCTTACACTGGAGGATCAAATCAGAGTTATGTTCAGGCTCAAATTTGCTGAGCCTTCAGACGAACAAAAAAGTAACCTTCTTGTAGTCTCTGTTTGCTCATCCCTTACAGTATTTTTAGGACTGGTCACTGATCTGTAGGAATAGTTTTTCTTACTTATCCTTTGTTTTATAACCAATATATCAATTAGTTCAATATGAATTTGCACATGACTTGCGCTAATATATACTTTGATCATTTGCCAAATTCTTTTTCAAACTTCACATTTAAAGCAATTCAGATTCAAATGATAATTATTGTATAATGAAAATAAATTTCAGATTTGATTTATTATTTCAAAGACTTGTGAAAACTGAGATATTCCATTTCAATCAATTTTATTTTTACATTGATTATCAACATTAATTAACTGCTTGAGAACAAGTAATGATGTTTGAGATTGGACGATAAATCATTAAAATATGAGAATTATATAAATCATTCCAACTCTCTCCATAAAATAATCATATCCTAAACTATTTTTCTTTCATACCCAATCCAACTGGAATGGTCAACGACTCGAAAAAGTCTAGCAAATTTATTATTTTTCCTTTTGCTTTTGATTTTATTACGGTGGCATGATTTCGAAGTTTGAAAATTCTTATTGAAAAACGAGATTTTGAAATTGAAACACACTTTAGCACAAACAGAAGCATTACTTTAAACTTATGCATTTTTCTTTCAACAATAATCCCTCAGCTTTCTTGTCCTTTTTAAAGATTGTCTTCCAATGTTTTATTTATTTTCTTAAGTAAATGGAAATCTTTTTTTCATGAAACGTGTATGAAGAAATGTGAAAGAAATAAAAACACTTTTTTCTTGAATTGCTGCAATATAAAGTGAAGAGAGGACATTTAATCTTTTTGTTTTGGCAAGTGATAAATTTATAATTCACCAGAATCCATTGTGATATATAAGTGAAAATTACTAATAATTAGCAGAAGGCATGGAAGTAATTTATTACAGTTTAATGCAAGTTATCAGAAGGAGTAATAACTGATCATTTCAATTCATTGATTTTATAAAATTATCAATTTAGTATAAATATTGAAAAATGTTCACTTGTTACTTCGAAAAGATATTTTAGTTGGATACATCGTTCTCATGAATGAAATCATTATTGTGATTCTCTTTCTTCTATCGCATAGTGGATTTTTTAATTTATTTTTCTTCTATTCATTTACTTCCATTTTCTCGAAATGATACTCTTTGAAATAATTTACATGTCAGGAATAAACATCTTTTAGAAATTAAAAAGAAAAACCAATCAATTTATTGTTTAACTTTAATCCATTATTTGCTTTGAAATTTCATTTATCACTTTTTGTCATTTTAAAAGAGTATTTGATTGAAAACGCTATATTGCTAACGTTTGTGAAACATAGGCGATATATAGTTGGAATGAAATTAAAATTGAGAGGAAAATAGAAGTAAGGATTTATGTTATTGTCAAGTTAAGGTGAATGAATAGTAGAAATAGACAGGTGAAGGAAATATTCAAGTTTCAAAAATGTTTGAAATTAGTGAACATTTGATGGCGAAATGATGAATTATAAAAAGGAATATGCTAGAACATAAATTCTTAGCCGCTATGTGAAGAAGTTGAAAAAAAAGTCACAGATGGAAGTTCAAGAACTTGAAACGAAATCAGATGTGTTTCTTTAAAAAATGAGAAGATAATACTAACGTATACATTGTTGAATTGGAAGGAATGAATACGGTTGCCATATGTCAATGAATGATCTTAGCTTTCCCAAACCATAAAGATAATAAGCTAACGTTAATTAAATAAAGAAATTGATAAAAGTGAACGATAAATTGAGACTTTAGGAAATTCTTAACAAAGCATTTTTCTGAAACTTTAAATGAAAAAAGTCAAACAAGCAATCAGAAATAATAGTTAAATCAAACGGAATAAGAAGTTATTGAGACAAGAAAGATAATTCTTAGCTTTCAATCTCATCGATATAAAAGACTTCTCAAAGGTATTGAGGTAATTGCTGTTATCTAAGTGTTAAGATATTATCGATAAGTAACTTCTTCAATCGATACTATTATTTTTATGGAAATGGTAGTTGAAGAGTTAAAATGAAACGGACAAATGACAAAACTATAAATTATTCGGAGGCGTTATTGTCGTTATTGCTAAAAGATGGAATAAAATGACTACAAAACAAGCTAAAAAATAAGAACAGAGAAGTTAACATGGGAAAAGAGCTAATACTTCTAAATCAGACATCTTCGTCAGTTTGAAATAATAGCATTTATTTCGGAGGAAAAGTCGACATAAATATTATAAGCAAAATATTTCATAATTAATAGATGGTAGTAATTTATGTATTTCCTATTTCCTCATCTTTCTCAGCTAATATTAAATGTATTGATAAAATAGTGAAGTGAACAGATGAATGAATAAATGTATTTTTGTAGGAATCTACCTCTCAGTGATCTCTGATGTGAATGCGTTTGTGTTGTTCTCACCACAACACGGCACAAATGATAACAGAACAACAATTTTTTTGCAGGTTTTTTTTAAATGACATATGGCACTATTGAAAATTAACTGAAAATTTCTTCTGCTTCCATTTTAAACTTTAGCAATTTTCAAAAAAAATCTGAAATAAAGAAAAGTTTGCCATTATAGGATGGTTGTCCATCTCGTTCAAGTTTCATTGTTGGAACAGAATCTGGGCGACGTCATGTGCTTTCATTGGATAGCATCAGAAGACCGGATTGCGCTGTGATGATCAAAATTGCTTCAACTGTGATTTCTCTAGTCAGAATTATTACTTTAAATTTATTGGTGAGAATCGTTCATTCTTCAATGTTTATTCAGGAGAGACCATTTGTGGATTTGGTGGCAGTAGCGGATGTTTCATTACTATCACACGTTCGTCAACCTCTTTGTATCACCGCACAATTGACACTGTCAACATCAGTGACGGTCCCAGTGTCGTGCACTTTGTCACCCTTCGATTCTACCCGCCAGACATGTCTTCTGCGAGTCATTGTACCTTATTCGTGGTTTCCGCTTAACAATGGTCATAAGCAGGTTTATTCATTTTTCAATTATTATATATCTGACATTTGATATTTTGTTGTTAATTGGATAGGAAGTTTCCATTAAATTTCTCTTTATAAATTACAACTTTTTGCAGTATTGAATTAGCAAAGCCTTTTTATATTTCAGTAACGATCCAATTTTTTAATGTGGTTTTCAAGTTCAATATATTAAAAAAGTTACCATCTGGTAATTGAGTAAGGCTGATCAATTAGCAATTTAATAGGCTCATCGATTAAACGAATAGTTTGATAGATAACATTATGAGCATGATGATTGAAATTAAGGAATTAAAATTTCAAAGTTACCAGTAAATTCTTGCAGTAAAATTGTGATTTACAGATCATCACACTTCTGCATTCCACAGATAAAGAATGTGGCGCTTTACATGCTGAATTACATCGTACAAAAATAACACTGTTATCGCCTTCTTCAAATTATAGATCATTTGATCTCGACAAACAATTTCCCACATTTTATGTTTTTAACATTAACTGTTAAATCTTCGAAAAGTCAGACTCATTTATTTGCATAAAAAAATATTAGAATTTAAAATCCAAACTCTTTATCGAAAGTTTGACATTAATTCGAAAATTACAAATGTATTCTGATGATGGAGCAAAACGTTGCTAATCTCTTCACTTTTCTGTGAGGCAAAGAGTCAACTATTAATGAAATTCATATTCAATTGTTCAGTGAATTATTTTAAATTTTGGATTATTTTTAGGCGTTTACAACTATTGTCACCAACGAATTTTACTTTTGCGGCAAGTTCACTTACAACTTTATTGTTGCATTTTGATTATGACGGTAGTAATGAAACTCGTTTTACTGCCATGCAGATAAGGTACCTTTCAATTCTGTTTTACTTTTAATTTGTTCAGAAATTGAATTTCTATATGATTAAAAGTATATCGTTCATAGCGTACGATAATATTGCTTACTTGCCCTAGCCATCAATCATTAGAATAACTTCGAATAATGATATTGAACTGATATCTTTTCTAAAAAAAGACCAAATTATTACTTCAAAATCATAAATGCTGATTGTTGGTGAGATAAAATGTTGCAGAATTTGGTTGAACAGTTATTTGAAACTTCTTAGCGTCACCTCAGCCAATCCAAAGCTATGGACAATACAAGTAGAAGGTGCTTCTCATCCTGATACTCATATGACCTTCACATGCCATTATCATTCTTCCTCCTTAGATGATAATTTAGAGAGGTGAACTAATTTCCATTACTTCCTTTTTGGTTATTTTTGATCTTTTATTCTACAACATATGTGATATTGGTCAGTTATCGTTTACAATTTTTACAGTATTGTCGTCGATTATCATTTTATAACGAATAATATTGTTTGAAGTGCTAATTATCATTTAACATCAAATATCTTGTAAAATATGCAAGTTGATTTTGTCAAATAATGTTTAACATAAGACAGTCACTGGAAAAAACTTTCTTTCGAAAGCTGAAACTTTTAAAATTTACAATTCTGCTTCATTTTGTAACTCGTTCTGACCGATATTCATACATTATGATAATAACCTATTTTTTTTTATAGATTCAAAGGGTATATAATGATGATGTTAATTAAAGTAAAAAGCTCAATAGGAATAAAATCCGAAAAACAGTCCAATACCATTGACAGTGATTTGGTCAGAGTTCACTGGGAAGTGCAATATTTTATCGCTGAAAATTCTACTTACATGGTACAACATCTTATCAATTTTTTGCTAACGATTTGAATGAGTGATCAATCCGTTGACGTGAAATCACGTAACTATACCCTACTCTATTACGGCCGATTATAAATGAACTCTTTAAAATCGTTACATGGAGATAGTCATAAGCTACTGCTTAAGTAGCTGATAATTTTACGATTCTTAATATTAGCTAATCGATGTTCGATAGTGTTTTATTCGTCAAATGAAACTTTCAATTCCCCAATATCTCTAGTTAACTTAGTGTTACTACTCATATGATGATAAATTCTTTAAAAATTCAGATTTTAAAAATAATAATCTTACTGTTTAGAGTAAAACAATAGCAAAGAGAGTAACGACACAATTCCGCATATTTTCGGATTTCGTTTATGCTTTATTGCCAATGATCAAAGTAAATAAGTTAATAATTGTTTGTGCTTATATTTTGAACTATTCTTTTCAACTCATTTGCTATTAAAACAATTGTAAAAATGAGAGATTTGATTCCAACTTTCGTCTTCCAGTGATCAGATAAATGTTTAGGGAGAAAACCTGGTCAATACAGCAGTACTGTCAGGAAAACAAGCTGCAGTACCGATGAGAATATTTTCCGTTACGGAAGGTGGAAATCTAAATGATATAACGAGTAGCTCATATTGTTTGAGTGCTGAATCACGAGTTGTAAAGGCTTCACCAACTTGTAGTTCCATTTATGTTGATGGGTTAGTCTGTCTTATCAATTCTAATCATCACTACTATGAAAAAAATTATCTCTTATCATATATTTTGTCTTTTGAAGTTTCCTGTGATTGACAAATTTAAAGATTGAAAATTTTACTGAATTTTAAATTTTATTGTACAACTCTTAAACAAATTTTTTTTGATCGTCTTTTTTGACGATTTTCTAGTTCTGAATAGTTCTAAACAGTAAACTATTTCTAAATAGTAAACTGAATTATAAACATTTCTCATAATAATTATAGGTCAGAGTTACGTGGTATGAGTAAAGTTAAAGTTCATATCCATTTTGAAAGATTAACCAGTTCGATCGAAGTTACAGTTTGGTATCCACGACTTCCGATAACTGTTTGGTTATCAGATCCAGTGCTAAATGCCATCAAAGGTTTGCATATTTACATCTTCTTTAGCTCAAATGGTTGAAGTGAGAAACGGTGAGCTTACATCGTGCTGGTAATGTTCAAAAAAATAGCCAGAGGTCTGAAGTTCTTCCTATTGATTAATCATATGCTTTCAAATCATTTATGTGAGTTACATTTGAATCTGTTTTTATCTCTCTCAGATAAATTTCCGAGCTTAGGATTTCAGACTGGCAAATAGCAGTATGGAAATGGCTTCCTAGCAGACGTAAAAGGGAAGCCCGACAATTTGGCTGTATCAATAAATACCAACAAGCTGAGGTATAATAAAATTTTACTTATTACTTGGACATATTTTCCACGTAACTTATGAGTGTATGAGGTAAGATTTACTCCAGCTCTTTAAACTACTTCATCTAAAAAAGATTACCAAAGAAGTTAATGACAAACATACGCTTAAAATCATTTCGAATGATTTTATGCTAATGATATTTTTGCATACTTATCCGATTGTTGTTTTGCATAATTCGAGCATTTATACATTCCGAGATCAAGGTGCTAAATTATTTTGTAGGTTCGTATTCTTGCAAGTTATTATGTGGGAGACATTGAGACCGGAGAACGGATCTATTTATCCGGTAATCGGGATATTTTATTCGATGTAACGTCATTGACAATAAATCATGTGCATAGTTCAAATATTGGTGTTGCTGTTGTATTGCCTCGACAAGATCGCATTTTTGTTGTGGCTCATCGTCCCGGTTCAGCCAGGTCTGTAGTAATTTAACAGTGATCTTTGTCATATTGCTTTGCTACTTTAAAATTATCAATTTTATAGGATAATATTACGTTCAAATACTCCCAGCATCGATTATGGCAGTGCTCCAATCGTGGTACAGTATGCTTATTATTATTATTATTTTTTATGGTGATACTTTTTCTTTTTTGTTTTAATTTTTGGCAAAAAAATTAACCTATTTAATGTGAGTGTGCAGGTGACAGAAGATTCTGTATCGGTACGACGACTTGTAGTGGAAGGAATTGTTGATATTGCTTTGGATATTGAACGAATTCCGAGAAAGGCCCATGAATATGTTGTTTCAACATTTATTCAAAATACTTTAACTCATAAGTATCAGGTAAACTTTCCGAAACTTTCATTTCAATTCTATATTCCTCTATAACCTTATGTATTATTCGATTGATGTTGAAGTTAGAAGAGTAGCCACATTGAGAAATGTTACTATGAATCATAATTATATACATCAAGTGATGTAAAAGTTAAACCATGTCGTACATGGTGATCATCGATGTAGAAAAGAAGTGACATAAAGATGATAACGTAAAAAAAGATGGAAGATTTTGATCAATTTGAGATAAAACATGCGAAAAGAAGGATTTGATGATAAGTGACATATGAAATTAGATATTTACAGCACGCCACTCTGGTTTGTCGATTATATTTCTCGGATGAACAGATGCTTGAATTAACCGATATTCCATCAGAACAGTACGTGCTGAGAGGATGGAGTTCAGATGAGCAAGCTGTAGCATTGAATCATGGGCCGGGTGGCCATAATATTGAATTAACCGTTCTGCAGAATGTCAAGAATGTGCTAATCTCAGTTAGCTTGCATAGTCCAGCTCAGTGCAGTGAGCCAGGTTCGAGAGCTATCAGTCAAATCGATTATCCCGTACAAATTGAATTCAGTGAAAAAAAACATACAAGCACATCATCTGTTATTAATTGTTAGTTCGATCTATAAATAATTTTTTTTTTCTTTGGAATTTCATCATTATATCTAATTACTTAGTTATTCTCAATTTTTTTTTTTGGTCCCACAATTGTTTTATTATTTCCATGGAAAGTTTAGTGATAATTAATCTTATTTTAGAGTTATTGTAAGGCGGACTTTTTTATGAATTCGAACAAATAATTTAAATAAAAATAATGCTGTATTTTATTAGCCTTTCTTTTAAAATCTAAATTATCCATTATAATGTTTGAAATGTTTTTTAAATTATGACAATTTAACAAAAAAATGAGGAATTTTTGAGTGATAGTGAGAAATTCCACTTACCCTTACTTTCGCTTACTTTTGTTGCCTAAGAATAAAGTGTTACTCTTTTGTTTCTCCCATCAGTCCTAATCGTGAAATCACATCTTGTAATTAGGGGGATTTTAAAAAATAGAAATATTCACAAATAATCATAACAAAATGATTAATGCAAAGCTTGGAATTTGATTTTCACCTTGCTATTCAAATTTTGATGTAAAATCTTGCAAATTATATTGAAGACTGAAATATTTCGAGAACAAATATTTAACCTTCAAGAGCAGTAAAGTAATAATTCTTATTTTTCTTAAGCAATGACGATTCTGAAATCGAAAATATATTTTTTGAATGGATCAGATGTTGAAAATATTGCAACATGCTGATCGATCTTCTACTAACACTTACACTGCACTTAATAGAATAAACTTCTATCGGAATTAATTGTAACTGCGATAGCCTGATTGAAAAATATTTATAGATAATAGTAGCACGAAACTGGAATCAACCACGAACTCAAATAGTTGGAATTCGGAAATGTTGCTTGGATTGATCATTCTTTTGGCTGCAATAATAGGTATTGTGCATGCGATAGGTTCACGGGCCAGACAACCATTCAATGAAGGTTATGAAAAATTAGTACTGCCAATCCTTACACGATTAAGTTCATCAAGCTCATGTGGAAGGGATGAGAATTCACAGGAATGGATATGGTTATCGAAAGCACAAATTGATAGTGCCAGTATAAATAGCAGGTTTGTTGTGTTCATTCATTTGATAAGAGAAAGGTGGAATTGTTTGTAAGCATGTCATAAGATAATATGAATTTATGCAAATTCTTTTTTTTTCTTTAAATTATATTAGGAATTATGGAAATATCTTGAGAAATACACACTCCCTTTCTTTTGTTTATCATTTGATACCATTCAGGTGGGTAGAACATTTGTAAGAGGTTAATTCAGGTATTCACAGAAATCAACCATGGATGTTACTGATAATGCATCAAATGTAAGTGATAGGAGTACACAACGTAGCATATCATATCGTGGATCAGAAATTAGCGTATTCATATCTCCACAACCTGCTGTAGCTGTAAGTTTAATTATTTATGGAATTAATTAATAGGTGAAATTTGCTAGCTTTTCTTATCATTGTCTCTTTGCACTTAAGAATGATAGCTGATATTTTTACAGAATTTCACGGCAATATTTCGATCGATATCCTTTTATTTGATGTATAATGGAACAGTCATCATCACTCAAACTGGAAATGTTTCAGATCAATCTTGATTCATTGGGAAGACATACAACAAGTTGGCGTGGTAGATCAAGAGCTAAACTGGCAAGAAGTGCGATGATTGATAGTAGTTCTTCAGAACATAACCTTTCCAGATATTCATATGCAAATTCGAATGGTAAGGTTAATGGTGAGATATGCCCTTAGATTTAATTTTACAAGAAGACAATGTGGGCTCTCAGCTTTCTCTCTTCTGGACACTTGTAATCCTTTAACTTCAAATTTTGTGAAATAAACTAACTGTATTTGTTCTTTAGGATGCAGCTTTACTCCGATCACTCCCGCTGGCAATGAAAAAAATCCATGGAGCAGAGGAGGAGGAACAGCTGCAGCAGCACCCAAACAGGTATGTTGGCGGCAGATCGATCGTGATTTTAGCTTCGATTCCATGCCTGATATGGATGGAATCCGAGAAACGGTCACCTAAATGTCATCTTTTTCTCTTATTTGTTACCTTACTAGTTATTTGGAATCTTATTTCTTGATTTTTTTTTACTTGCTTCACTGTTTACATTCCTCCGCTTTTGCATTTCATTCATTATTCATCACTCATTTGATAAATACCACCATTTCTCGATCATAAGGATCATGTTCTGTCATATCAGAAAAATAATAGTGCTATCATCAAGAGAGTTACTTTACTGTATAATGACCAGATATGTTTGGAGTCATATATTCCTCATTAGGCGCTCTCGGAATGCCAGTCCAAGAACGCTATTTGCATCGCTTAACTGGTCTTAATTATTAATTACAAACTGAAGATAGCGTACAATTTTTTACGGAATTTATTTAGCGACACTCGCATCTCTTCCACTATTTTTTGTTCCCAACACTTCCCGTTCATTCTAAATTGCAAGTTTTAAAAATCAAATATAATGAACAGTTCTCAATTTAAATGATCCAACTTGTTTTTTTCCTCCATGTTTTCTGATTCAAAATAGTTCCTATTACAAAACTATTCATTATTTTAGTAACACAAGGTATATTAAAGACCATCAAAATGCACTTCTCTTGCTATGTGTTGACCGTTTGAAAAAAGTTTCTACGGGTAAAAAAATGTAATTCCGAATTATTTGTTTCCAACAAAAGTTATTGCATTCCTATTTTGTAACAGGTGTTAGAATTACATGATGTAACAGAACACATTAAATTTGCATTTTATCATTTACCTATACTGCGTAGTATTAGAATAACGTCTTACTCCGTAAATTTCAAATTAAATTTGAAAAAGTTGTGTCCGCACTCCATTTAGTAAATCACTAGGAAAGTACGGTACCTACCCATATCACAATACAACGGACATCACAAAAGTGCTTACAATAGATATTTGAAGTGATACGAAAAAAATAATATCTTTGCAACATATAACTCCAAAAGTGCAAGTATTTCAAACGAACAAAAAAAATCTTTGATTCCTTCAACACCAGTTCGAACCCAATGAATATCAAAATTTAGCTTATTACCTAGCAGTTAACTAATCTATTATAGTATTGATGGGCACCACATTCATATTGCCTCTCAAAATTAGCAAAATGCATAACCCCAAAATTCTGCTACTTAATGAAATCAGTGCTTAATATTAAAATGTTTTTGAATGAATAAACTTACAGCTCTATCTGTATTTTTCAAGAAATTTTTTTGGTATGGTCTTGCACCGCTCTATTTTGGTTACTATATCATAGTATACTGAATACCGGATAAGTAAAAAGGGGGTTTACCGCATTGACATTGCAAACCTGTCCTAGAAAATAATGCGGAAAATTACTACACGTGAAGGGAAAGCTAACATGGATATGCGAAATATAGAAGCGAAATAAAATTAAGTGAACTGGTACTGAAGTCCAAATAAAAATCAGAAAAAAACACAACATACCCGCAGCGGACATTTAATCCAAGAACTTAACGTTTGAGGTCGAAAAGAGTAACTGACACAAGCTGAACGACCACGCATTGCATGGTCAACTAGGCAAAATAACAAAACTGGAGAAACACAGTTCTAGAAATTTTTCAATACAAGGAGACCGAATTCATTCGGCCCCGTTGACATTGTTGCTTTTTCTTTTTGTTTTCTTATTCACGGCCCGATTTCATTTTCATTCTTTTTGCTTTGTGTTTCAATTTTTTCATTTGAGATAAATTTATTTTTTTCTTTTCTGAGCCGATATTAAAATTTTTTCTTTTTTTGCCAAACAGCAAGTTATATCAAATAGTTACAACAAAAACACGAAGAGAATAAAAAAACATAGATAACACAGATTTTAGGACGAATTCTTTTTAAGGAGTGGAAACATAATTTTAAGGAAAATGCTGTTTGTACAAGCTTGTAAATAATATGACTGTTCATTAAATGTCGTGAAAAAAGATCTGGGAATTTTTTAGTGTATAAAAATGGGATCAAGATTTGATCTAGAAGCAATTTTGCAAAAAAATAGCCTTTTAAGCATTTTCCACTGATAAGAAAAATTATTCCCGAATGTGAAACATGGAAGATTCACTGACCACGCATTCTTTCAGCTAATCTTCATTGCCATCATCGTCCGACTGAAATTTATTTTTATTGAAATTAAATGAAACTGAAATTCCTTAAAATATCACGGCATAATGAACAAAACTGAATATTGAGGAAGAAGTAGACAAGAAACTGCAAACTTCAGTAGGCTGAAATGCTGTATAGAATTGAGCTTACAAATTAGTGAGTCTTCTTGGAAGATAAAAGTCTTTGCACAATACTACGAACAATACTTGGCTTAGATGTATCCTGCGTTTAGAAATAGTTACGTTATACTAAACTATTGTGATCTTAGTTCATAACGACATGAAATGCAAGAGATTAAATATAACAAACCTCATCCAATGGACAACTCGCCAACAAGGCAGCAGGAGTAACACGCTCAGACGGTTGCCGCTTTTCATCAGGAATAACACCACTCGCCTCAGCCCCACGTTTTGGGGCCCATTCCACTATTAAATGTCCAACAGGATAGTCTGCTCCTAATGACACTGCCTTAAAAAGAAAGTAATGAATTCATTTGAATAAACGAGCATACAACTCCGAACAACGGCAACACCTAGGAAAAAGACAAATTTTCATAAAAACCTGCTCAGCATCACGCCTTTTTTTGTAGGTAAAATAAGCAATAAGCGATTTATCTTGTGCAGGAACTCCAAAATCCATATCAACTAATTCTCCAAAATGTTCCATATGAATAATAACGTCATTTTCTGTTCCTGCTTCAAAACCGCGTACTACAACCATTTTTGAACGATTATCAAGGGTCTGCAAAAGAAAAAATGTAACGATAAAATAACAAGGAAAAAAACTTAATACATCTAAAGCAAATGACAGTAAGGAAAAACAGCTTACCGCTCTTTATAGATATTAATGATATTAATTAATTTAATGTGACATATCTTAAATCTTTGTAAAACCGATTTTTTGCAAAGCGGTTCACATCTTTATTGGACGAGGAAAAAATAGAAATCATGAAAAACGATTTTTTTTAATGACTGCAGCTCCTTGCACTTATGACATAAAATTCATCATTTTTTCTGAATACCTTTAAAAAATTCATTTTTCTTTTTCATCAAATCGTTGCCAAAATTACTGTTATTAAAAACATGCAAAAGACTGTGCCTCAAACCTGTGAAGAATCTTGTAAACGAATTTTTTTCGGAGAAGGGACCATGTCACTGATTGATAATTCACCTGCTGAATATATTAATTATAGTTGCACATCAAATATCACTTCAAATACCATTAAATACCAATCAAAATCAATTTAAAAAATTTTTTTTGTTTGAAATGATATAATTCAATTACATAATTATTTCTATATTGTGAAATACGAACCATCAGAACCGATAAGATCCACACCAATAACAGACTCCGCAGCACCACTGCAACCGTTCGCGTTATCAGCTGTCTTCGTTGCTTGGGAACCGGTTCGTGTTTTCATCAACGTCTCATTAAGCTCAGCAATTTCTCCTTTTGTTTTAGCGACAGATGATTCCAATCCTTTGAAAATCTAAAAAATACGCAAACTTTGAAAACTACACAGTTGTTGATAATCGAACCGTAGCTAACTTGTACGTGTATTAGTCCCATTATTTGATTATAACTGGTCTGTTCTATCCAATTCTACTTGTTACTTCGAAATAAAAAAATGTTCGGTTGGAAGTACTCTAGCAAACATAACGAAATGAATTAGAATGGAACAAATATAATCAAATAATTAAAATTTTTATAAATTTTTTAGAATATAAGTAACATACGCAAAAACGTAACATACAAGTTAGTTATTATATGAAATAGAAGTAATCCATTCGTAAACAGTAGTTAATACCACGACTACCTCCTCACATACTAGTTAGATTTTAGCCCTTAAATTTTAGACGAAAAATGGGAACCTAACTTCGCTACGACCTTAATTATTGTGACAAACCTTATATAACTTCTTCTTTTTTTCAGGAGCAATGTCTCCTGCTTTCATTTTTTCTAGTATGATTTTCTGCTGTTCAATTTCTTTGGACATAAGATCAGATTTTCTCCGCTGAAGATCTATTAATCTCATTCTGTTTTCTTTTTCTTGCTTTCGTCGACGTCTTACCTGCAGAATATAGTTTCATCATTAGAGTTACCAACCTGCACAGCGATAGTAAAATTCTCAGCCTTCAAAATTCCAAAATAACTAGGACGTCAGCACCTTTTGCAAAATGTATTTCGGTTATATTAAACCTGTTTCAAAGAGTTTCAAAGACCTTAGTAGTCATCAAGCCGCACAAACTTTCGATCTGCACAAGAAACTTCCGGAGACATATCACGCTTCGAAATTAATCTCTATCTGTTAGTTGACATTGCAATAAGGAGTTTAAATTGGAAATCGTAAGAAATAATTTATGAAGTTTTAGACCAATGAGAAATGTATTCCACCATATATTTCAGTCAAAATTTTAAAAGAATACTTCGATGTATTTCTCTCTGTCTATCAGGGACTGGCTGACTGCTGAACGGGAAGCTTGAGGTTCGATATTCTGCGAATTCGCTATATGCAGTGTTTGTGAATTCCTAACAGCAGAACCAGCCAACCGTGAACCAACATGGACTGTCTTTGTCAGTGAACCTCTCGCATTAAATGTTACAGATGAACTGTTCACTGGTGCTGCCTACAAATATTCATCCAATATTAATTTAAAGTGAAATCCATTCCAAAATAAACCTTGACAAAGTTCAAGCTTCTTCAAATTATTTTTTCTTTTTAGTCAATTGCCGTCTGCTCCAAATAAATCATGAGTTTTTGTTCTATATAGTCATCTTCGGCTCATGTAAATGTAAAAATGACCTGGTTTGCATTTACAATGTTATTTGCTTGTCCATTTATACTGTGCCAAAATACTTTAATGAAACGATTGTTGAGTATTGGCACTGTACTCTTATATGCTGCAACTGCTTCATATCGATTTGCATAAGTAATAAGAGCTGCTTCTGGATCACCCTCGAAACAAATCTGAACAAAAAATGTTACACTTCTGGCGAATTCGAAGATATCATAAATGAAACAAATCGAAACAGGAACACTTATCTGAAGAAAAACATGCAGAGAATGATAGAACTCGGCATACAATTGCATTCCAAAATGGAAAATACCAATATGAAAACACAAATGATCTTAATGGCTTCGAATATCCTTTTTATAGATTAAATATTTCTCAAAAATGTTTTATTAATTCAGAACCAGTCCTGAATTTAAGATTCCTCCACGATTCTTTACCTGCATATTAACAATGTGTCCAAATTGTCCAAAGTGCTCGTTCAGCTTTGCAATGTTGTTTAATTCCGCAGGTATCTTACGCACTTGAAGCGTTCTGTTCACAGCTCCCACATTTTGACTGTATCTTCCTGCATTACCAGTACCATTTCCTCTTCCTCGTTGCCTTTGGCCGGTCGTCAGCTTAAAAAATTCCAAATTGCAATGAAATCTCACTCATACTGATAGCACCGTACCTAAGTTTCAAAAATAAATATTCCTTACTTCTAGTTTCTGTAAAAGCAAAACAATGTTTATTCTTTTATGACATATGAAGTAAAAATTTAAAAAAAAAAGTTAATCGTTACTGGCAAACCAATAAGAAATTCTGCATTCCCCGATATAATTTACTAGAAGTTGCAAAAATGACAAACCTGTGTGACATTGTGCGACGGAACAGTAGTGGGGGAATGCGTTGGGTCATATGTATTGGTTGCAGGATGAATTAATACAGATGATGACACAGCAGGTACTGTATAAGTTGTTGGTCTCCAAGGCTGATTTACTACAACTGAAGGGATCGGTGGTGGCGGTACCGAGAAATCTAGCGAATGTGCTGCTGCTACAATTGGTATTGAAGAAGCACTCAGTGCTGGAGCTTCAGGATTATATCCTGTAAAATACGAACTTCTAAATTCTATTTTCCTATGTAGATGAACATATATCAATTTATTTTAAAAAATTCAGAGTAAACACAGAAAATTGAAATGAAATAAACCTTCGGAAAGAGTGCCTGATACAACAGCACCCGAATTCGTAGCATATACACTGTCAACACCAGGCGGTGGTGGGTTCAACGGTGTGTAACCAGGTGGTGGCACCGAGAAATTGGTCGCAATCTGAGTTATGGCAGGTTTTGCTCCATTGGTGACCATTTTTTCTAGAGCAATATCGTCTACAACGACTGGATCAGGTCCATGATCATAAATGCATTGATCTCCTTTCATGCAATACCCTTTCTCATCATAGTCACGACAACGTTTTTTTTTTCGTATTTCTGGCTCACCACTTTTTTCGCGCCTGTAAGTAGACTATGAGACCGAGATACCGTACAACAACTGAAAATGACCGCTCACTCAGAACACACAAAAAAGCGTATGGGTCTTAAGATCATTTATATATGTCAAACCACTTAGCAAAAGCGCTTTTTGTCAAGAATGATACCTTTGTCTTTCATAAGGAGAACGCGGTGAACGAGAACGTTTGCGTTCTAGTCGTTCTGTACGGTCAGTTTTATATCGGTCCTGTTGCCAGTGTTGCAGTCGTGTAGGCGGAGGTGCTACACGTCGGTCCAAGTTTCGATCTCCCCGTTCCAATCGTCTTTCACGTGGTGATCGGCTACGTCGCCTTTCGAGCCTTGAAAACACAAAAGATCTATTATGTTTTAATATGAGAGATGGTCAGCGAAAATTCAACACACTGCTCACTCATCTTCCATCTACCGTGTAATCTCTTCTTAAGGACGGATTGTTAAAACCATCATTCTGATAAAAACAATCACTGGTCAGCCACCCTTTCCGATATGTAAATATATTTACATTATTTATATCATAAAAAAATCACCGATTTGCCGAATGATCGCGACGGGACTCTTCGTGTTGAGGAACATCTATTGGAGGCGAGATTCTTTTTCGTGCTGTTTTTTGAGGTGATCCCGGAACTACTTCAGATACGGAAATCTTTTCACTCTCTTTTTCATCTCGAGCCTGAAAGTTCAGGTAAGACACTTCGCCTTGTATTTCATTTCTGAAAAAACCAGGGAAATTAAATTTAGGCAATGCATAAATATGCAAACTTTTAGTTGTTCCCTTTCTTTGTCACTTTGACTGGTAGTCTTTCTCTTGACGCCTTCTCTTTTCTCTTTCATTTCTTTTCGCTCATCGGTATCCTTCTTTTTTTCATACATTGCAAAGGAATTTTTTGATTGTATCGTGGGGGCGGTAGCTGACGTTGTTGTAGTAGTTGTTATATAGCTACGTTCTCTGATGATACGAAACAGTTTTTCCACAAAAGGTCTTGCTTCTGAAAGAAAAGTGTTAATTGGTCTAGTAAGAAGCTATGTAGTTTCTTAGCAAGAGCTATGAAGGCAATGTTTGATGCAGATAAAAACGGTGTAGAATCATGTACTGCACTTCATATTTCATAGCTTGTGATGTAAGATAGTTTCATTTTTCTGCCATAGAAGGAAAAGAGGCAACAACGAAAAAAATAAAACCGGTATATTCCGAAACATAATGTAAGATCATACTTGTTTGCAAGAAAACGTCGAGTTGTTCAATACAGAATTCCATCAACTCTGATTCCGGTTTATCCTTACGTAATAGTGCCAGTACATACTTGGCAAGAGCTGCTGGTTCAGCATCACATCTGGAAATGATCAGAAAATTTTCAATAACCTTAATCAAATATGAAAAATAAAAAAGCCTTACATTGGAGCCATTTCTCTAGTAAGCCATGTTCGCAATGATTCCGGTGCTTCTATAATCATCGTTGCAACACCACTCACCTTATGCTATAACTGAGACCTGGAATAAGCTTGAATTATTTAAGGAACCAAGCGCACTTATACGTGCGATAACTAAAGATATTTTAGAAAATTTTACCGAATCAACGTAAAGAACAGAGAGACGGCTGACAGAAATAAGTAAAAGATTATGAGACGCCTGATGTGAATTGAGTTACTAAGTTTAATAAAATGACATTTGATTAAAGTTCAAAAAAATTACAATAACTGTATTTCAGACCGAGAAATATCCGTTACTTGAGGAAAATATGATCCTACAAAAACTCCAATCACAGATGTATTATTTTCTATTACAGGAATAGTTATTTTCGTTCTTAAAAAAAATGGGATGACGAAAAAAAACACGAAAGGAATAATGATGTGCCAGAATGCATTTGCCAATCTGATCTATATATAACACAAAATTATCAATACCAATATCAATATAGTAAATTAATCCTAACGACATTTGCAAGGATTGGAAATATCTTTCTTAGATTTTGAAAGTCAGACTAATAGAACTGTTGTACTTTTAATGTGACATGTTAATGCTGCAACGTGATTATTGCAAAAGGTACACTGAACACTTGTCACTGATCACAACCTATTTATGATTAACGTTCGCCAAAATAATTCTATCAGTAATGCTCGAGAAGTAAGAAGTGGCATACGAACTGACAATGAGTCTACTGGAAACCATGAAAAGCCCCTCCCACAAACACACATAAAACATGCACACGCGCACACACAGACACATACACACACACACACACACACACA